AATATATATTTTTTATTTTTTAACAAAATATAATACTTTTAAACTTCTCGTAAAAATAAAAATAGCTTTTTATCTAGATAAGCAAAACATGTTGCGGTGGGTTACTAGTTTATTGGGTCCATATTCCTTTCTGCTTGTTTTTGTTCTTTCTATTTTTAGGTATTTTTGGGTTAGTACCTAATTGTTTTCTTTGTCATTGCTACATGTCATTACCATCTTCGCGTTAGTGGGCATGGTGAAGGCCACACCAATGAGTGTTAGGGTAACATAAATATTATAATTTTTTTTATAAATAATTAATTATGATAAAAAAAATATTAGTTTGTAAATTTATTTTAATTTATTAAGTCATAAATATTAATAATTTTATAATTTTAATTAATAATTACAATTAATTGTTTCTAACCAAGAAATTAAATTGAATTGACAACTAGAATAGAACTACCAACTAAATTGAGATATTCATTTATAAAAATACCGTCCCTTCCATACCCTTCTTCTTACTCCTCGAGAATATAAATGACTTAATTTTAAAGATTGAATTCATGAGAATAAGTAAATGCATATACAAAGTTTAAATTTAACAACTAAATAAAAAAAAGTAATAATTTTTTATTTTATATCATATAATAAAAAATAATTCTATATTATATAAAAAATAATTTTTTATTACATAATTCATTTTATTTACTTATGATGTGATTTAAAATTAAAATTTTTTATTTTTAATAAAAAAATTACTATTGCTGAAGAATTTAAATTATTAAAAAAAATTAATGAGTACCCCTTGGCTCAACCAAACTGAGTTTTTTTTAAAGAAAAATATTAAATTATTAAGTTAGTATCCATTAAAAATTAGAGTCGAATCAAAGATCCAGCAAATTCTACTTTCGTGGTCTATTTACTGTACATATGCCACATGGGCAGTTCTCGGCCAAACTGATTTTAAGGGCACTGGCAGTTGAAAAATTGACCGACTTGACAACCACACCAACCGTACACAAAACACCCTACGAACACCAAGACCAACTAAAGTTCAAATGTAAAAGGTTCATTGAAAAATCGTTATTCTAATAAAAACAGCCGGCTGCAGTTCCGAATATCACCGCCGTTCATCTTCTTTTTAATTCCACGTGTCCCTTTCATCAGATACAGTTTGCTCCTCCAATCTTCCTTTTTTTTTTTTCTTCCACTATAAGTAGCCCACTCAATCGTCAAAACCTTCCAACCACCGTTCAAATTCCTCATCTTCTCGTTGCTGCCGGCCAGTTTCCTCCTTCATGGGGTTTCAAGCTTCATACAAGTCCAGTGCGTGGAAATGGCTGGGCTTCGTAACCGCCGTCTGGGTCCAGGCCATTTCCGGAAACAACTACACTTTTTCCGACTATTCCGATGCCCTCAAGACACTCATGAACCTTACCCAAGTCCAGCTTAATAATTTGTCAGTAGCCAAAGATGTGGGTAAAGCATTTGGTCTCCTTGCTGGCCTTGCTTCTGATCGTTTTCCCCCTTGGGTTCTTCTGATCATTGGTTCGATTGAAGGGATGATTGGTTATGGTGCTCAATGGCTCGTTGTTAGCGAGACAATCAATCCCCTTGCTTATTGGCAGGTATCAAGAAAACGTTCTTTCATGCATTTCATTGATATATAGCTATTTCGTCTCACAGTGTAATTTTCTAGAATTCGAGTAATTTTCTTAATTCAGCGTAGAAAATTCTATTCTAAGAAGAGTATGAATGATTTTTCAGTGCAAAATTTCTGTAATTCAATCGGGAAATTTGATTGTGTGTGATTTTGTTATTACTCACAGATGTGCATATTCCTCTGTTTGGGAGGAAACAGCACGACATGGATGAATACTGCCGTTCTAGTGACTTGTATCCGTAATTTCCGGCACAACCGTGGCCCTGTCTCTGGAATTCTGAAGGGTTACGTGGGTCTCAGCACCGCCATCTTCACCGACCTCTGCGCGGCTCTGTTTTCCAACAGCGCCTCTGATTTGCTCTTCATGCTCGCTATCATCCCCTTGGCAGTCTGCCTCACTGCGGTGTTCTTCCTCCGTGAAGTGCCTGATTCTGTCTCCGCCTCTCAAGAGAAGGAAGAGAGCCATTATTTCACAGTTTTTAATTTGGTCGCTGTTATCGTTGCCCTTTATCTCCTGGTTTACGATTTCATCGACTCTTCGAGTCAAGTGTTTTCCCTTGTGTTCGTGACTATACTCCTCGTTCTCCTGGCCAGTCCACTGGTAGTTCCCGCATACGCTTTTATTAAGAACTGGACATTGGGTGGGGCTGAAACGGACGTTGAGCGACAGCAACCACTGCTGGAAGAAGAAAGCGCCGCCGATGAAAAGGAGGAAGTTGCTGACGTGGCAGTTACAAACGAGGCTGAGGGGGATGTCGTGGTGGCAGAAGATGCGGCGGCGGTGGTGGTGAATAGAAAGCCGGTGATAGGAGAGGACCACACGATCTTTGAGGCTTTGCGGACCCTTGACTTCTGGATCTTGTTTGTATCGTTTTTGTGTGGGGTTGGAACGGGTTTGGCCGTGATGAACAATATGGCGCAGATTGGGCTGGCCCTTGGATACTCCGACGTTTCTATCTTCGTTTCGCTGACGAGCATCTGGGGTTTCTTCGGCCGAATTATTTCCGGTTCCGTCTCCGAGTATTTTCTCAAGTAAGTTAATAATTTCTTAAATTCAATTTTCCTCTATTAAATCTACACTAATGATATAATTATAATCACATATAAGATTTTAATCTAAGAAAAATTATAATATGCACTTGGGCCTTCGTATAAGTGCATTCTCCATCTCTCAAAATAAGAATTTGAATCTAATTTTTTGTAAATTTGTTCAAAAAAAATATTAAAATATATTATTAAATAAATAAATACTTATAATATTATAAATATACTTTTAAATATACAAAATTAATTATTTAATGATATGTTATTATTATAAATTTATAATAACACATAGTATTATAATTATATTAATTCATTATATCTATGCTAATTGCATATTAATTCCCACAACAGGTACCATAATTTTTGTTAGTCACATTTAGTTTTATTTGAAAAAAAAATTATATAATACAAACTGTATAATTTAAACTATTGAATATGATAGGCTCTTTATTATTAGGTTTTTTGTTTTACATAATAACATGGTTTGGATTGTAAAATAAAAAAACTTTATTTTTATGTTTAATGATGGGTTATACTTTAGTTCTCCTCTCATTGGTAAGTACAAATCTAATCTAGAACTACTGGCATGAAGATTAAGAAAAATTATTTATAATTTATATAGCTACAATGCTGTTTATTTTTAGAAATGATATATTTACAATATAATATTATAAATATATAATATGACTCATTTTATTTGAAAATTTATTTATAATATTTTATATATCTATTAATTTAATGATATTATAATTTTAAATTTATAATATTATGTAATATTATAATTATATCAATATCAATTCATTTTTCTTTCTTTTTAGATTTTTTATTTTTAAATATATGGAGTGCAAACCTTGGTATTACTCTTATTTATGGTTAATGTTTGTTTTCAAACATTTCATTACATGAAAAAAAAAAAAATTTGTTTCCATTTTTTTAACTAATGCAATTAAAGGATTAAAAATGGGATTATCAGATCTTAAACTTTGGATTTATAAGTGTCACCACTCTTTTCAAAGAGTTGTAACTATTGAGTAATAATGCTGATTGATTGATTTGCTTCTATTTTAATTATCTTGGAGCTAGAATATTCCTTCCATAGTTCCTTAAGATGGTACTTTTTCTTCCCCTTGGACGTAGTCAATGGAATTTTTTATGCTACAATTTGGTCATTATTTATTAGCTCCTTAATTTATTAGATTTTTTTGAGGAACAACGTTAGTAGTTTGTAGCGGTGAAATGCCAGATCTCAATTAATATTATATGTTCTTTGTTATAATTTTTTTAGCAGAATGTCGCATATTAGAGCCGATGACATTTTCCTATAGCAAGCTAAAGGATTGTAATTAGTTAATTTATTCAGTTCTGTTTGTTTTTTTTCCCTCTGTATATATAATATATATATATATCTAATAATAAATTATATAAGAAAAATAAATCCTTTTTTTTAATTCTTTTTTTATTTATTTCAAAATTAAAATTTAAGATTTTTTTGTTTGAAATCTCAAGTTTTAAACCAGTTGAGTCAATCCTTAAAGGCATTTTTCCGGTTCTTTTCATTTGGGAAAATTATCTGGGGCAGCTTCTGATGGGGGAGATCTTAAAATTTTTATTGCTTGGTGGACTTTGATTTTTCAAGGGATCCTCCAGTCTCGTTCCCAGCCTTAGAGCATGTATCTATCAAGTTACAATAAATTTGTTGGTTTGGTAATGCTTTACCATTGTTTTCAACGTCATCATATCATACAACCAATGAACCAAAGTCCTCTTTGGAATAAAATAAAAATAAAATAAAGTAAAAAAGACCTCTTTGAAATGTTGCTTTCTGTTGTCCTAACTTGATATTGATTTCTTGAGACTGACATTCATGGTGCATTCTTTCCTTTATTGCAGGAAAGCAGGAACTCCTAGACCTCTTTGGAATGCAGCATCTCAGATCGTCATGGCTGTTGGCTTCATTGTCATGGCATTAGCAGTGCCGGGTTCACTATACATTGGTTCAATTGTTGTTGGAATCTGCTATGGATTCCGCCTTGCGGTCACAGTCCCAACTGCCTCAGAACTGTTTGGTCTCAAATACTATGGTCTGATGTACAACATTCTAGTCCTCAACCTTCCCCTTGGCTCCTTCCTCTTCTCTGGCCTGCTTGCTGGCTACCTATATGATGCTGAGGCTACTCCAACAGCCGGAGGTGGGGACACCTGTGTTGGAGCTCATTGCTACAGGCTAGTTTTCATCATAATGACTGTCGCCTGTGCTGTTGGATTTGGCTTGGATATTCTTCTGGCAATTAGAACCAAGAACTTTTATATCAAGATATTCAACAACAGGAAATCAAAAAAATCAGCAACCATAACACCAAGTAGAGAATCATAGAACATTTATGTAACAACAGGTCAGAAACAGAAGGAATTCTACGTTATCATTTCTTAACTGAAACCTCCTAAATACCTGGAAGATTGTTCTGGTCTATAAGATGATCACATTTGTAACAGTGTTTGCTCAGATTATTATGTCAGAAATAGATGACTTCGGGTTTGCCACATCTGCATTGGTAATTATTTTGTTTTTTTATAAACAAAAAAACAGGGGATCACATGGTCAGTTTTCGTCCACCTTTTGTCTAATACCTCCTCCACTGGGTCTATTTAAAGAAATTAAATTTTTTAAAGGTTAAGCTTGAGACTTAAATCCTAAACTTAATATACGATATGGAAGTTACTTATTTGTGGATCTAACATGCGGATTGGTAATTCACTAGATACAGAATGGAAGAAACAGGAACATAACAACATAAGCTTCAGCATTCAGTTTGGGCTTTGTGGGCCTAATGGTGAGAAAAGAAATACAGAATATTAAAGTCTGATGCGCTTCCTGATTCTTCGGATGGACCAAATCAAAGTTCTGGAAACAGAGCCCAATTTTGTCCCATGCCATTTCCTATGAGAGATCATTGCTTGAGTTTTGACTTTTGATCATGTGAACCAGCCTGGCCCCTGTCTCATACACGCCTGATGCAAGATCCGGCATTCCCTGGGGCCAGAACTGCACAATAATGAAGGGCCAAAATGAAACAGCAAAAAAGGTACCTTTTTCTCTTGCTTGAAAGTCACCACCCATACATTTAACACAAAGATATTGTGAATGTCATTAACCCTTCTTCCAGAAGTAGATGATCACCATTACGGTAAGTGGGTCTGAAGATTAAGCAACCATCGATAAAGTCAAGTAACAGCATTAAATTTCTTCCCATACGCATCATGGTGTCCAGTCTAATGAACCCTTTGTTTAGGTCAACAAACCATATGTAGCAGCAAAGACAAGTTACCAACGCTCACCAAAAACATATGGTAGTACTATACATATCATGTGAGCAGCAGGGCACGGACGATGCTCAGGCCAGACACTGTTCCCTTGTGACTCTTCATTGTCCCTTTCTCTCCCTTCTCTATATGATCAATTTGATTCACCACTCAGCTAACAGTAAAACATGCAACATTCTCTCGTTTCTGCTGGCCTCCTGGTTTTCTCCTTTCTTTTAGTTGCTTCTCTGATTGCAGCATATGGTTCTTTTCCCTTTTCATGTCTTCGTTTCTACATAGAACCGATTTCATCTGAATAGACTTCTTTTTTTCACTGTATTTACCCTTCTTTTTTTTTCTTTTTTTTTTTAATTTTTATGTTGCAGATGGTCCACTATATGATTTTACTGCTTATACAGAGGTAAAATTCGGGAAATTGTTTTAATTTACACCATGTTTTAGTGCAGATAGTCCTTTATATATTGGTATGATTGGCAGTGTCAAGCATGGCCGGAAAAGCCACTATACGGTGGAGGAATTCTGAAACATCAGCCTCCGATGGTTAGCCAGAACAATGGCAAATTTGCCATTGGTGTCTACACACCGGCTTTCATATTGTACAATCTCACCCAGGGCACCATTTACTGTTTCTCCAGTAAGCTTCTCTGAAAATAAATTACTTGTTTCTCATGCTTAGAAGGCCATATTTTATTGACTTCCAGAGATCAATATAGGCTGGGTGAGAATAGAAGGTGTAGAATCAGCCCTTATAACAGCAAGCCTCAGGACAGACAATGAGATGTACAATTGCATTGGGACAGTTTTGGCTAGGAGCGGATGTTGGTCATTTCTCAAGGGTGGATTTGTCCTTGATTCACCTTCAGATGTATCTATACTAGTATTTCAGGTATATATGTTCAATATATATGATCTTCAAAAATGCTGCAGCCTTTAGTTGTTGTCTTTTCTTGCTTGGTTTCTTCGTTTCTTCTTAATATTTTCCTTCTGTACTGGTTACATGCAGAATACTGATAATAAGGTCATTGATATATCTATTGAGAGTGGTGCGTTGCAGCCATTTACTGAAGAGCAATGGAGGATCAACCAGCAATACATAATTAACACTGTAATGACCGGTAACATCATATTGAGTTCATGTGAAGTGCAAAAATCTCGCATCTATCAATTAAGGAAAAACCTGTTGACTTAGATATAATATGAGCTTTCTCCACCTATAGGCAATTCAGTTTAGGTTGAATGTCCCTTTTCTTTTTATTGTTTAATGGTTTAGTCATCATATTTTCATTTTTTGTGATAAGATTGATATATATATATATATACATATTGATAATTGAATTTATTTATCTATAAGAATAGCAGTACATCAAAGCAGCAGAACAGGTGCTACAAGAAAGAATAACACACATCTTAAATTTTTCTAGAAAAGGAAGCGTGCCATGACAATTCATGTCTCGGATGAACATGGAGATATGTTAGAGGGGGCAGAAATTTCCCTAGAGCAAACTTCCAAAGATTTTCCATTTGGATCAGCAATTGCAAGCACCATCCTAGGGAATTTGCCCTATCAGGTAACTAGAACTTTCACACGGACTCCTAATTATTCACACATCAATTGAATAACTGAATCTCCTAATTGTTTCAGAAATGGTTTGTGGATCGATTCAATGCAGCAGTGTTTGAAAATGAATTAAAGTGGTATGCAACAGAACCCAAACAGGGGAAACTAAACTATACCATAGCAGACCAGATGCTAGAGTTCGTCCGAGCCCACCAGGTAATCGCCAGAGGCCACAACATATTCTGGGAAGACCCCAAGTACGCCCCGGATTGGGTCCAGAACCTCACTGGTTCCGAGCTTCGGTTAGCTGTCAACTCAAGAATACAAAGCCTGATGACTAAATACAAGGAACAGTTCATTCACTGGGATGTCAATAACGAGAATCTCCATTTTGATTTCTACGAGCAACGTCTGGGGCCTAATGCAACATTGGAATTCTTCCTGACAGCACACCAGGTAGACCCCTTGGCTACCCTGTTCATGAATGAATTCAATGTGGTGGAGACTTGCAGTGATGAAAAGTCCACCGTTGACAGCTACGTTGCAAGGTTGAGGGAGCTCAAAGAGGGTGGGGTTTACATGGATGGAATTGGATTGGAGAGTCATTTTACAGTACCAAATCCTCCTTTGATGAGAGCCATCTTGGATAAATTGGCTGCACTAAAGCTTCCCATTTGGCTAACAGAAGTAGATATTAGCAGTTCACAAAGTAAAGAAATGCAGGTGAGCCACCCAATAGCTTAGGTTTCATTTAGTATCGTTGTTGTTTCTAATTCGTTTATTTACCTAACAGTTTGAGCTCTGTTTTGGGTCTTTTAAACAGGCTATTTATCTTGAACAAGTTTTAAGAGAGGGCTTTTCACATCCTTCAGTGAATGGGATAATGCTTTGGACTGCTCTCCATCCTAAAGGGTGTTACCAAATGTGCCTCACCGATGATAATTTCCGGAACCTCCCCGCCGGGGATGTGGTTGACCTACTGTTGAAGGAATGGCAGACCGGCGAGGTAGAGGGGCAGACAGATGAGCATGGGTCATTTAGCTTTTATGGATTCCTAGGTGAATACAGGATAATGGTCAAGTATGGAAACAGAACATCAAATTCTACGTTCTCACTCAGCAGAAGTGATGAAACCGGACATTTTAACATTCAATTATGACTCACTAGATTACAATTATCTAATCAAGTGGAGTATTATCTAGGAGAAAATCAGTATTACAGGTTATTAAAAAAATCCCAAGATTAGGGGAAACTTGTCTAGGAGACAAGGAATATTAGGTCCATATAAAAAAAAATTGCCTTGGAAGGAGTGTTTGAACGTGGTTATGGTTATGTATTAATTTGTTAAGATCATGTAATATTATTTAAAAAATATTAATTTAATTTTATTAAATTATTAAAAGTATTTAATAAAATAAAATTAATTTATAAATTAATATTTTCAAATGATATAATTAATCATTTAAAAAAATATAAATATTAATCAAACTGAACAAAAATAAAATTTATGCCGTCTCAACAAAATCTTGTGCGGCTATAATCACACCTCAAATGCTTTCCTCAGTTTATAACCATGAAAAATGGAAAACAAACATGGGTTTTACACAACTTGAGCTACTAATCCATTATCAAGGATTACATTAATTGACATAATGATCCCATAAGCTAAAGTGATATTGTCCAAAGAAAGGTTCGAAGGAGGGAACAAAATCTTTTTGCAATCAGCCTTTTTGACATTAAGGGGTCCCTTTGAGCTCATTGTTCATAGGAAAAGTCCTGAGATGAAAAATTTTCAATGGCTATAATCACATTCCAAGAAATTTATCCTACTTCCTGACTTTATTCCCCCCCCTTTTTATCACCATACAAAGAAAAAATTTCCTTTTTCATTCGGTGATGTTGATAGAATACCCCGCCAAAAAACACAAATGCATGATAACATGACCTCACAGTCTTGTCCTCCACAGTCTAATCCATTAGTGACTGAAGCTTTAAGTCAGAGATTCCAGCTAAATTGAGTAAAGAAATTTGATATGGTTGAAGAGAAAGATTATTGGAATGGACATACATATGTCTGAAAGACAATTGCAAGCAAAGACAAAAGGCTGAGCTAAAAACTTGAGAGTTGGGCAATGAGATCCTTTTCAGACAACAACCATCTTTTAAGAATTCATAATGATTTGTGTGGTTTAACTCTATAAAAGCCTTTGAGAACTAATGAAGAAACCAAGATTTTTCATGTCTGCAGGAGCATTGAGAATCATCAAAGGGGGAATCTTAATTCTTAAAGCTGGTGCTTTACCCCCGCCCCCCAAAAAAAAAATGGAGGAAGAATCTGTAAGCTTTTATAATTTAGAACAAAGGCAAAATCCCATTACCATTCCAGCAGCGAATCTATAAAGAATTCACATCTAAATACGAAAATTAAAACTCCATGACATACTTTAGAAAGACAGAGATGATGCTACAAGTAATGAAATGAGAACAAAACAGAGAGCCCTGTTGCTACTATGAGTAGAAATTGCAGAGTAGAGGAAGAGATAGTTCTTGTTGAGTCTCCCATGGCCAAACCAGCTAACCATGAACCATCATCCAGCATGGTTTGGCCTGATCCTGTGTGAGACCCTGTCCCTGAGCCTGAGCCAGAACCAGAGTATCCATAAGGACCATAACCATAACCAGAGTAAGTTAGCCCAGCTCCTGACCCTGACCCGGATTCCTGTGGTGTCGATCCTGTCACCGGTGTTGCTCCGGTAGCTGGTGTAGCTTCTCTTGCAGATTTCTGACTGTAAACCAGAAATTATGAAAAAACAAATTGAATAAATTAGAAACAACCAGGTACTAATTATCAAAATCTTATTTCTTCCCGCAAAATACATTACCTTGGGGAAGAGGGACAAAACGTTATTGTATAATCAGCTCCGTTGCATGTAAAGGTACTGGTAGCATCATCGTAGGCGTAGCTATACGATCTCGGACACGCCGCCTTGAACATCTCTGAATAAACCGAAGGTTTACAGGTGGTGGGTGTGCTATACGCGCCACTGCAGCAATATTCCGGGCTTCCAAATGCCGTACAGGCGCTGTTGCACGCAAAACCGTCACCCGCCCTTAGCTCCGCCGGACATTGCTGGTTCAAGTCGGCGGTGCAGCCGGTGGAGGCGCAAAGACCCAGCCCACCACTTCCTTCAACAATCATTGGTATATTATACCCATCAACAAGGCTGACGTCGTAGAAGTCTTGCCCTCCAGTTCCCAGGGTGAACTCCGCAAGAGTCACCGGCGGGGTGGCTCCGAGCCCGTTGCACTCAAGCATACCCGTCCCGCAGTCGCCGGTGGCGCATGAGCCGGCTCCAGATCCGTCAAATGTGCAACTAGTTCGAGCCCAGAAGCGGCCGGACCATCCGGTGGGAGCTTGGAGGGAAATAGCGGAGTCCTTTGGGAGCTGGAATCCAGTACTATCAAGTCTGGGACTGCCGGCATTGGCGAGAATCCCAGGCCACACGGTGTAGCCGCATCTGTTCACGAATGTAAATGTAGAGCCTGAAACACCTGGAGAAAGAAAACCGGATAATATAAGTGAGAAAATGAAGGAAAGCAATATGGGAAAATGTCCAGGAAGAAAAAGGTGAACTTTTGACCTCTGGAAGTAACTAGGAGGACAATGAGGCTGAGGACGGCGACTAAGTGGCGAGAGGACTGGAAATCCATGTTGTTAATGGCGGAAAAATGGAGAGATGAGGATGATGGGAGACTTTGCTACGCCCTGGGAGGAAGCAGCAGTGAGCGGAAAGAGACGAATCAGAGGTT